AATGTGCAATCATTTTTGCGAGGAGTCGAGGTAAACCTGCATGTATATTACTATACGTTTTAACCGTATATTTGTAGAACAAGAAACTACTATTATTTTCGGCGGGATAAACCCAGCGAGGTATAAAACCCCCCATGTATTACGTTTTAATTATATACCTATGTGTAGAACGGAGCGGGGATTTCCAATTATGAATAACAATGTCGGCATCCAAAAAAATAGGGGCGTTGCCGTCGTCGGTCCTCTTCGACGCAAATTTTATGTAAGTAGAGTAAGCGCTTTAATTGTAATAATAAACTTCAAATCGATATTTCAGATCTAAATAAAAACGCCCTACATTTTGTTTTTGTTGTTTTATTTCCCTACCCGCCCCTGTTCTGGTTGTAGGTTAGAATGGGGCTCAAATCGCTATTTCAGCTCTAAATAAAAACGCCCTACATTTTGTTTTTGTTGTTTTATTTCCCTACCCACCCCTGTTCTGGTTATAGGTTAGAATGGGGCCCCCTTGTGTATGTCTCTCAAATGGGGGAGCTACCTCCGAGATGGAATTATAGGTTAGAATTCTCCCCCCTTGCATCTCTCTCCTGAACCCTCATATCTAACCGTTTGATGTCGCATCAATCTAATAGAGGGAGCCGGTTGAAAATATACCTCTATATGCATTACGACGCCAATAGATGGCGACTCCGTTCCGTTAAAATAGGTTCCATATAAATACAACTATCCAAGCATTATACCATAATAGTCTAATTAGCTCAGTGGTTATGCTATAGGACTTGTAATCCAATGGTTGGCGGTTCGAATCCGTTCCATTTAAAAAAAAAATTTCAGGGTACGAAGGGGTCGAAGTTGAGGATTCTAAGATGGCGCGTCCAAGAACTTGAGGATACCAAGATGGCGTCCAAGAACTTGAGGATTCCAAGAACTTGAGGATACCAAGAACTTGAGGATACCAAGAACTTGAGGATTCCAAGAACTTGAGGATTCCAAGATGGCGTCCAAGAACTTGAGGATTCCAATAACTTAAGGATTCCAAGAACTTGAGGATACCAAGAACTTGAGGATTCCAAGAACTTGAGGATTCCAAGATGGCGTCCAAATGACGCCTGCGCAAAGATGGTGTCCAAATGACGCCTGCGCAAAGATGGTGTCCAAATGACGCCTGCGCAAAGGGGCGGAGCGCGCATGCGCACTGACCAGAAGTGCTCAAAAAAAGCCCAAACGAACCTTAGAATTCCTTATGGGAAATTACATGTAATTTGGCCGGAAGTTGCGCTAGAACCCGTGCAGCCCCTTTACTTACCGTTGGGTAAAATTTCAAATTCACAGGTACAAACAGAGCAACAATTTTCAGTTGCATAGTAAATAGGATCTTTATATTTAACCTTCCTAATACTGGCTGGGGTCAAAAAAGACGCCAGCTTAACTTTCTCTGTTAAATTACATTCATCATTGCCTCGTTTTTACATAGTTCCGTGTAGTTGTAGGTAATAAATTACTTATCTTTTTATAACTTTCAAAGATATTTGCAAAAATGGCCTATGGGGTTTTACATGACCCCACCTGGTTACAAGTGTTACAAATTAAGTGATAATAATTTTTATAATTGTATTGCGGTAGGAGGGAGGACAGAGTCCACGCGTACCTAGACCTCAAATTCGGGCCCTTTGTACTACCTCCCTGACTAGAATCGCCTCACCCAGAACTCAAGATTGGCCTACATCAATACCTCTGCTATTCAACAACCCCTTATATTTCAGTCGCAAGGATGCCAAAGTGGACTGCGGTCTCACGTAGAGATCTAGTGGAGGCAGGCCCAGAAATGCCTCCATTACGGCTCTGGGGGTTTCTCGCATCGCACCCGTGCATACAAGGCACGCAAGTCTCTGAACAGGTATAACGAAGCACCCGTTTTCCGCCCCGAAGTACATTTGGTATCGAGTTCGTCGCTTTGTTACGAAAGAGTCCCGGAATGTAAACATTTGCTCGATGAGTGAGTTGTTTGTATTTCTATTTTTGTGTAATCGTTTATTTTACCGCCGCTAAGTACGTAAGTCAGTTTTTTGCAACCCTTCCGGTGGGAATAATTAAATTATTCTTACAGCCGCCGAATGCTCTCTTGCCAGGGAAGAAGGGATCCAATTAATGTTTTAATATTTCAGCGCCGCCGTTAATTAATTATTAAGCATTTGAGATTCCCATAATAACAGAAAACCAGGATAGAAACGGGTTCCAAATCGAGTTGTTGACACGTTATCAGTTTTGCAGACACCAGTGCAGACATGTCGGGGTGTAGATAACTACAACAGTTGTTGCGCGGGAAAATTTCAATGAACAATAGATATTAATTGGATTGATTAGTTTGTTTGCGCCTAATTGGGTTAATGAATGACAATTTAATGAGTTGTAGAAAAAACCGACAGACAACGTCCAGAGTTATATCAAAATGATCGCACTTAAAACGAGAAACCCGACGTCTATCTTACATTTTTCCGAAAATTACAGGCTGAGTAATTAATTAAAAGCTCGAATTAATCGCTTTCAGAGCGAATACAGCGACGAGTTGGACATTCCCCTGCTGCACTTCCTCCAAATTGGGTTTTCTTTATAAGCTAACGTTCAATTTTTGAAGAATCTCTTTTGCATTTTACGTACAGTAAGTAAATCTATTATCTTTTGCCTTCTTACCGTCACTAGTAAGTAAATACCGCCGTCCAGTCAAATTAGCATCAAAAGTAGTCTAAAATGGATGCTGTCACTTCACTCAACGAGACCAAGTGTATTTTATATAAAAAAATCCGCTGAATCCGAAAATCATAGTCCCCCTTGCCGGAAACTCCTGGACCATATTGTTATAAATATACTGGTTCACTTTTATAAAAAACAGCGTTTTAACAGGTTCTAGGGGCATTTCAGACAACATTTGGCCAAATAGGCGTTTTTTACTAATTTGGACCTGCTGAACACGAATATCGATGTTGGCACCTCGAAATCTGAACAGGAAGTCCAGAATTCAACATGGCGGCCAATTTCCGAAAATGTTGATATTTTCACTCATGCGACCGATTTTTTCGATCTAAAATCGGATTATAATGTTATTCCTGACGGAGGTATGACACGATGATAATAGTGAACAAATGTTTAAACAATGATTTCATAGTTTTTCTAAAGCCTAATTTACATTTGGCGGAAAGTACTTTCTGCCAGTAAACTTGCTACCCTATTTCTATTTAACTGGCACTTTCCGCGCATTTACACGTGGCAAGTTTACTGACCGACAGTACTTTCCGCCAGTAAACTTGCCAAATGTAAATTAGGCTTAACGTCAAAGTGCGTAAAAGTGGATTCCTTTTTTTCATAGTACTATGGCTACTGTTTAAATTTCTTCACATCGTGTAATTATTAAATTATTTCTGTTTTGGTAAGCATTTTGGTTCCTGTGCGTCGTGTGAAAGATATCCGCGATGGTCCATAACCTCATATGGAAGAATTTCCTTTTATTAGAGGAAGAAATCTTGTCGCATCACCTTGAAGAGGCCTCATTTGACGGCGTACTGGTGATTGCGAGAGTCTTCAATGATGAAAGAAAAGTTTTCTGTAACCGTCAGACGACACAGATTTCCTCCTTGGAAGCTTTTCACTTCAAGGAAGCGGATACTAGAAAAACGCTACAGATACAGATGCATTCCTGTTGCTTCTTCATCACTTCGAGATTTCAGGAGCTGCGAAGCTTTAGATCTAACAATTCTGAACTCCATTCTCTTGCGATTCCATCTAATCTTCTCTAGCATTTCATCCTTTTCCATCATTACGGCATATCAGGCGTAAATCTCAAGATGTACTTTTTTTATCTTATAAACTATGAAATGTCGCTCAGACTACCTTATCTATCCTGAATTGAAAATAGCTACATTCCCATTCTCCCAACGTTAGATTAATTCCGAAGGCTGCTCTAGATATCGTCCTTTGTCGTATTGCTCGTCAAAACTTTGTAAAAATATCGCAAAGCTCAATTGATTTGTACTACCTAATTGTCAATAAGACGATTGACCTAACACCATGAGAATAACTAAGGTATTTGTAATTTGTATTCACTTTTCTATATGCTTTCATCCCTTAATAATAATAATATATCCTGAGGAATGGTAATTAATACCTAGCAAAATCAGAATCTTCCGAAACACCGCAGTATAGTTGAACTCCCTTCATTTTTTTCATTTAAAAATTAACGTACAATTCGAAAGATTGTAGTTATCAAAACTTTGTAAGGAGAATTATGCAATATAAACGCATGTCGGGAATACTTACATGTGTCAGGATTACTGGAAACAATCGTTTTGCAAGTCCTCCTTTTAGCAAGGGGAACTGGGAATTTCATAATCCTTAATTTTACGCATCCTGCATCCTCCTATTACATTATTGTTAAAACAATAGTTAACTATTATTATCGTGAAGTACCTCAGGAATAACATTATAATCTGTTTTTAGATCGAAAAAATGGGTCGTTTCTAAGGAGGAAATCTGTGTCGTCTGACGGTTACAGAAAACGTTTCTTTAATCATTGAAGCCTCCAGCAATCACACGACGCACAGTAACTAAAATGCTTCCCAAAACAGAAATAATTTAATAATTACACGTTGTGAAGAAATTTAAACAGTAGCCATAGTACTATGAAAAAAAGGTTTCCACTTTTACGCACTTTCAGGTTAGAAAAACTATGGAATCATTGTTTAAACATTTGTTCACTATTATTATCGTGCCATACCTCCGTCAGGAGTAACATTATAATCGGTTTTTAGATCGAAAAAATCAATCGCATGAGTAAAAATATCAACATTTTCGGAAATTGGCCGCC